TGCAGTGAAATTATTTCAGACTGCCTAAAAAAGATAAGCTGATTTGCCTCAATAAGCCAGATCCCACTGAAAAAAATAACCTGGTTTTACTTTCTGTTTGCAACCTCATTGCTTTATTTTGGCCAACACTGGCTCACCCTCACTTCTCAGTATCATTGAGTTTAGGTGTGATCCACGCCCACTCTGCTGCCTTTTTTTGATAGTTAATATATTAAAGAAGTGGTTGATTGTCACTCACCCAGAAAATAAAGTTGAAAAAGAAAAGCAGGAACTTCACACATTTCATTCCCCCCTCTACACTCATGGCTGATGAGAATCAATTTCCTGGAAGAAAAAACGAAAACAAACGTGTTAAATTTAATTAACTTTCCCAAGGCAGAGCTACTGTACATGAACATTACATCAGCTGTAATATGAGCAGCAGCACACTGGAAGATCTGACTCATTTTTAGAGGCTAAGTGACTGGTGCAAGCTTTAAGCTATAAAAGGCCTTGAGCCATAAAGACATGTGACAAACTTAACTTTTTATTCTCTATAAAATACGTAACTCAGTGAGCCATAACTCTCACTTTGTATGACTGGATTTATTTTAACACCCAGGCGACAACACATATCGGTTACTCATTAAAAGATCAATCAAAGTTTAGAGCAGTAAGTGACTTTGCATTAACAGTAAATGGGCATTCAAAAACAGCAGGGTTGTACTTCAAATTCATCAAACAGGGGCAGGTCAAAGAGGTCAAATCTGTAAAGGCTTTTACAGCACATCACATGGACCATAAAGGATCAAAAGTACGACATTTGAGGACGAAACAGAGCCCTTCCAGCCGTTCACCAGACCGTTAATCACCGCTGGGTTAGCAACAACACCAGCTTTGTCACACGCCAAATTACATCAGGCAGCCACTTCTCTAATTGAATTTGTTAGTTTTACAGCTGCGTTCGTCTTAAATAAACTCCGACAGCTAAACTGCCCCTGTTTCCTCCACGAGTGTCGGAGAAAACAATCTTTTTCGACTACTTTGTTTGTTGCATCGTTAGTTAAAGGCTCGGTTCCAAAAATTGGATGAAAAAAGGTTAGTAAAACGCAAGAAAAGTTCGTTATTTCGGCGGTTTTTAGGCTTACCTTTGTGAAGAAGTCTCTAAAGTCCTGTGAAAAGGGGCGAAAACAACTGTGAAGTGAAAATTTCGACAAACTTGTACCGCTTCTAGTCCCTCCCACCCTCAGCTTCTCAGTTCCCAGCCTCCTCCGCAACTTCCCAGTATATTGACCAAAACTTCTTCTGCTGACTTCACGGTCTCCTCGTTAAACACACAACTCTGTGACTGTGACCACTAGGTGAGGTCACTGACTGTCAATGCAAGGTTTTTTTTTCTGTTTTTTTTTCTGTTTTTTTTTTTTATTTTATTTTACAAACAAATCCGTGAGTAGTTTTTTGTCCAGTTTATTATAAAGCCCATGAATCCGTATTTGCAGTTAACCTGTAATCAGTCTGATTTTATGGAGCCCCCCCCCCCCCCCCCCCCCCCCCCCCCCCCCCCCCCATGGCCTGGTTACCATGTTGAGAGGCCCCTGGGCAAAAATTTGTTGTGTGCGCTCACCTATTGTGTTGAAACTACTTAATATGACTTAATTTGTGGTAATTCCAAAAAACACAACTTTATTCGAAATAAGCTCCATATGAGGACAATATAATCTAAAATAGGTCTTAAAAATAGATTTCGGTGCAGGATCTCTCCACAAGACAGGGCCTATACATTGTGTATATAGGTAATTATACACACAATAGTCAAAGTACAAGTACCTCAAAATTTTACTTTAGCACAGTACATGAGTAAAGTTATTCAAAAGAAACGTTTGACAGAAAAGGCATCTTGTTTCCCAGACAGGATCAGATATCTACAATGAATGTAAAGTAAACAAGGCTACAAGGCTGCAAGAGGAGCCAACAGTAATACTACAGATGGAACGCCAATTAATGTGAAATATATAAATCTAATTGTCTCCCCCTTTTCCCAGGCTGAAAAAGAACCATTATTAATGGTGATTCAAATTATGCTACAATAATAGGAGATGAATCATATCCTCAAATGTTTCCTTTCTTATGTACTGAGTAACATCCTCAGTCTGCTGAATAACTTGAGCAACATTTTGTGACCACTCGACTTTTTGTCAAAATGCAGGTTTTAATTAAGGTTATGAGTTGAATTAAAATCACAATTTGACATTGTACTTTACTTTTAAGCCAGAAATCTTTTGAACAAAGTAAACATCATGAGTGTCCAAATGTGTGTTATGACCACAAATGATTGGTGTGTTAGGCTGAACAAAGTCAACTTGTTGCTCAAGGTTATGGTCATGTGGTGAAAGTCACAAGTCTTTGTGAATGCTATGGAAGAATTCGGTATTGAAAGGTCACACTTTAATGGTATAAACACTTTGTTCCATTTCCAATCAATGATCATTTGAGACAAAAAAAAGTTAGGATGATAATTGTTTGTCAGAACTATGTCCTTGTAATTGTTAATGCAATGCTCAGCGGGGATGTGTGACTGACACTGCATGTATTCTCACATTACTGCTGTTAAGGTGGATGAAGTGGACCAAATCGTTGACCTCAGCTGGTCTTACTGTATAACAAGCATATCAAAAAACAAACACCTGAGTGGCCCACAACCATGAGCAGATAATGAACCGATAACATCAGTCTGACCTGGTTTACTCATGTTCAGGAATTGAATTTGGTTTGTGTCAATAAAGAAATCAGATTTTCATTTGACTGGTTTGTGAATCGAGTGTTATGGTTGGTTCCTCTGGGACATATCTCAAAACCTTTTATTACTAAGTTTTACTTTTCCAGTTCTAATATATATTATGGCCTTTACTTGTTTATTTTATTTTACTATAGCTTAATCCACTCTTTATCTTTTTTTAGTGTATTTTATTCTGTTTAATATTCCTTTATTTTTATGTGCCTGATTTTGTTTAACTGTATGGCTGAAATGTTTTAATCTTGATTTTACCACATATAGCACCTCATGACTTTATTTTGACAGGATCAATTTAAAAAAATTATTAAGAAAAAGTGAAGAGCAAAAATATATTCTGTGTATTTTGTTGATATAATTACAGTAATGTAAAATTATTTAATTGCTTTCTAATTATACAATACTACACAGGAAAAATAGAACAGAATATAACAAATCAATAACTTGCAGCAAACAAACTGCACACAAATTGCTCAATATTCAATTTATACCATCATGTGTTTGAACCCCCACATCTGGACAATCTGATTGAAGGTAGGTTTTATTTATCTATGTTGTAACATGTTGTCACATACCAGGAAAAAAATAACGCTAACAATGGACCATGAAGTGTCCCAGTAAGCCTTTCCAGTAAGAGTGCACAATACAAAAGCCCTGAACCTGGGTCACCTAAACGGACAACAGTTTTCAGTAATGTTATCTAAGGTTACAGTTGTGCTTTTCATGCTTGTAATGACATGTTGAAATATCTGCTGTGATGAAATGGTCTTACAAACCTCGGTGTCCTCAAGTGGATGGGTTTTCATCAGACTGAGAGTTGAGAAAGTCAGTGTGCAAAACACATGAATATCTGTTCAGCTGCTGAGGCCAAAAAATATATATAGATACTTTGTGTTTTACAAAGACTCACAATCCTGTTGAATTCTCTCATATGAAATATTTTCTATATTTTTCTAATACTTTCTTACATCTAGTAAGTGTTTGGTCCCCTTTTACATTGCACATAGATGATCTTCCAATGCTGCAACTCATTACAGTGCAGCAGGTACAGTAATCTATTGTTCTGTGCCTACACATCTGAAAGGCTTTTGTCAATCTACTTTGCTGCTTTAAATATGATTCATTCAACACTTGCAAGGTGAATTACTCGTTGTTGACAAAAAGATGCAACATTAGGTAAATCCAATTTACCTGAGGTAACATAACATTTGATGCTCCCCTTTTGAAACTGTGCCCTTGTGTAAATACTTTGGCTTCCAGCCCCGGTTCGAGTCCCGCATCGGACGGCCTTTGCTGCATGTCATTCCCCCTCTCTCTGCCTCCCCATTTCCTGTCTCTCTACTGTACTATCAAATAAAGGCATAAAAAAGCCCAAAAAATATACTTAAAAAAAAAAATAAATAAATAAATAAATGCTTTGGCTTCCAAGTGCATGCCAATTTATCTTCTAAGCAAGAAACACAGGGCGGAAACTAGGTATTTATCTCAGAATGAAGTCCTATTTCACCCGTGGAACTAAGAAAAAGTTGGTAGCTGCCATCTAGTGGTGTAGAACTATAGAGACGTAATTTCTCTGTTACTTCACTGTTCATTTTAACATTGTCAAAATGGAACCTTAAAATCCTTTACTGGCCTTAATGCTTACACCCATCATGGTGTTTTTATAGGAGGAAGCCACTGGTAAGCCTTTATTTACAAGAGCAGCTTATCTTTCAGCAGCTTCCACATCTCTCCTTGTATTTACTTACTCCACCAATGTCAAACTACTACTACTGCTCTTGTCTGCACCAAAGGTAAAACAGAAGAAAGAACAGAGAAAAAGTTTCCATATGAGTTGAGCTACAAAAAAAACTTATTGCAATCACATAAAATTATTTTAAAACATAACATCACTGACACTTTATTGATTGATATGGGCATATTCCAGTGGTTTGAGAATTTTAAAGTAAATTATGTATTTGTAGTGCTTTGTTAATAGGTTTTATAATTGATTCAAAGAAATTATAAAATGTAACGTTTATCTCTCAAAATGTTGTTCTCTACACTCTCAGGTCTATAGACTGGTCATAAGGAAATGTGTTAATCTAACCAAACCATGTAGAGACGTTGAACGTACACTCGTAATGACGACATCTAGTCTGGTGTTGTGATTGGCTGAACGGCCTGTCACTCAACCGAAAGCCCAGAGGAGGAAGTGGCGGGACAAGACGTAAGAGGAGGGACATGGTGCTCTCATCATGGCGGGATGCATGAAAATGATAAACGGTTTCAAGTCTTCAAGGGCTAAATTAAAGGTTTTCATGGTGCTGCTTGTCTGTTTACCTAAAACCTCACTCCAGGATACAGGTAAGAAGCAATGTTACACTGTAATAACATAGACTTTAATTTAAATGATACGTATTTTAAATAAGTAACATTGCTCTGGCTAACCCCGGCTAGCTTGTTTTTGGTCTTTGCTGCAGTTAAACAGTAGTTACTTTATGTTAAGATAATTTATATATCCTCATAGCTCGGTTACTTCTGGCTGTCCTCTGATTGATACTCTGTATGAAGGACAAACTTAATGTCATTTGGCCATGTCTTTTATTTTGCTGTTGTAGATTTGCTGAGCACAAATCTGCTTGAGTTTGCGACTCGTCCTCATTTTATTTTTAACGTACCGGTACTAATAATAAAACACCTCCTCAGTCCTCACTGATCAGGAACGTGTTTATATACACAAGCTAAAACTATTGCAGTCTAATTCAACTTTCCTGCAATAAATCCTATCCTCACGAAAGTCTCAGTGTTCAGTCTTGGTTTTGATTTTGGTTTTGGTTGAAACTGTGTTAGAGAGGTGCTGATTCAACTTTATATCCATGATTTAGGGGTTGCAGTTTGTGGTGCTGTTGAACTGTATTGCATTAGTTTGATTGGCGTTCCTATTATTTTGTCTACCCCATTCAAATCAATGAGGGTAGGGTAAACAGCAGACACACCTCCTTGTATTATGCAATACAGTTCACAACAGCACCACAAATGTGATCAAATGATCAAACAGTTGAATCAACACCTCTCTAACACAGTTTTAATACAACCTGAACATTATAACATCCACGAAGGAGGATTTTATTGCAGGAGTGGTGTATTTAACTGCATTAGTGTTAGCTAGGTTAGCTAGCTCCTATTAAACTGACAAGTGAGTGTATGTGCAGCTACAGCAGCTCACAGGATATTAAACTGAGTGTGAAGGGAACAACCAGGGGATAAAGACAGTTCTGATAGTCTTTGTTCAGATTTCAGTCCTGTATGAAGTGAGTTATTGGGTCGACGTTATCTTTAGGAAAAAGTTTTAAAGTTTGTTGTAAGTAAACATAAATAAAGCAAACTGCACTGTATATAGCGAGTTAGGGAGATATACAGTTGCATGCCAAAGTCTGGCCACCTGGTTCCTGTAGCAAGTTAAATACAGTAGGCAATATTCATTATTCTTACTAGTCTAACTTACAGTTTGGTTTGGTCACAAACCATTCTTCATTGAGATAGGCTAGCTTAGGAAGTAACATGTGATGCAGTCTCAGTGTTACATGTCTGCTTATCAAACCCAGGTAACAAACATCCAATAATTGATCTGCTGGATGGAGAGCAGTCTGTTTTGTCAGGATCCAACCGGTTCTGTTACAAAAACTCCATAGTGCCAAGCTGGAGGCAAACATGGACAAGAATTCAGGTAAGTTAGATGAACTCAGAGTGTGAGTTTTTTTTCTTTAACTGATTTACTCACAAAATGAGAGATAAAAATATGAGGTAATGTTCAAGAAAAAGTGATGTTATCACAGCTCCTTCTCTGTCAGTCTGGGTATTTTGGGGACAAATTCTAACTAATGGGCAAATGTGGTTTAAAGCTTTACAGTTCCTTAAGGTCTGTTATAACTGAAAATTTCTGACAGATCAAAGTGTGGAGTTCAAGCGTGTTCAAGGTGGAAACTGTGGAAGGTGAGGAGGAGCTGCAGGAGCTGGACCGCTTCAGTTTCTGGGGCTGGTTTCAGAGCTTGCTACGTGAACGGCACAATGAAACCACAATTAACATCAGCCTGTTCAGCAAGAAGACATGCTTCAAGATTGATCCCAGTGAAAGAACTCATTACACTGTCAAACCTGTCCGCAGTAAGTGGAAGACAAAATCATTTTCTGATCATTGACAGATATTACATGTTTAATATGCTTTTTTTTTTCTTCTTTTTTTTCCTTGCAGAGTTTGATATTTATCTGTTTTTGGTTTTCCTCTCTGGGGCGTTGTTGTTCGTCTTTGCAGACTCACTCAGCAGGTAATTTTTACTTAATATCTGCTTGTTAGGGTTTTTCATAATTATCACATGTTATCAACAATTTTTTTCTCTTTTACACAAAGGAGTCAAATTTTTTTCTACTCTGCTGGTATGAGCACAGGCATGATCGCCTCTCTCATCATCCTCTTCTTCATTTTGGCACGCTTTTTGCCAAAGGTAAGGTACTTCATATTCATCAAATATCTATGACTTTATAGTTTAAATCACTTTGGTCTCTTAATTATCTTAATTACTTTGTGTTTGTTGCTTCCACAGAAAAGCCCTTTCTATTTGTTGATTGTTGGCGGCTGGTCCTTCTCTGTGTACGCCATCCAGCTTGTCTGCAGGAACCTCAACATTATTTTGCGAGAACACTGGCACATGGCATTAGGTACCAACTCATATAAACACTTTATAAAGGTAGTGACTTCGTGGAGTTGGAAACATCAGTCCAAAACAAGGCTCTTAATATAAAAATAAAAAAAATTTGTAAGCTATTTTGAGACCACTGAGTATGTAACTTAGCGTTGTATATTTCTCACCTTGAGACTTAAAAAATAAATTGTGTAATGTTTAAATATACTGGTGTAACTAATGATAATTTTCATTATTGATTAATCTGCCAGTAATTTTCACAATTCATCAATTAATTATTTTGTCAATGAAATATTAGAAAATAATGAAAAATACATATTACAATTTAAAATTCCTTGTCTTTTCCGAATATCAGTCCAAACATAAAGATATTAAGTTTAGGTCTGCAACTAACAATTATTTTCATTACTGATTAATCTTAAGTATGCATGCTTAAATCTACACACAGTGCTCTATCTCCCTCACTTTGAGCCTGGTAATTTGTATCCCCAGAAGACATACAGTACATGTGATGGGTTGCAGGCCAGAAAAATGTGTAAAACATATCAGACAGAATATTGTCACTTTTACAGAGACTGTAAATAACTGTGCAAATTCAGTATGCAGGCTTTGAATTGCAAAGCTCTCCACTATGTTAGTTTTTCAACACTGTGTGAGTCAATGTTTCTGTTTTTCTTTTCTTTTTTTCAGGTTATGTAGCAGTAGTGGGATTCATCAGTTTTGCTGTGTGTTACCGTTACGGTCCTCTGGTGGATGAGAAGAGCATTAACATCTTGTCATGGACGCTGCAGCTGTTTGGCCTGCTCCTGATTTACTTAGGAATTCAAATTCAGCAAGTTGCATTCGCTATCATCGTGGCAGCTTTGTTCTCCAAAAATCTGGAGTACCCAGTCTCTATGGTAGTCATTGCATGGAGGTGGGTGTTTTAAAGCTGACAGAAGGTGGCGTAAGAGCACTGCACTATATTAAAATCTACTCAGTTGGTATGGCATTCCTGACTGTTATTGTATGCACAAGATTTTTTAATAATGCACTAAATTTATTTTTAGATAATTTTTGCTATTTCTTTTAGGAGTCATTTGTTCTTTGGAAAGTCTTACATGATGTCTTCTTATTTCAGCCTCTTAGATTTGTCCACATTGACAAATTAATGAACTACTGAAGCTCATAGCAGTGGTATACAGGAACAGCCTGTGTTATATTGCATTTCCCCAGTTGACATATTCAGTTCACATGATTTGAATTTTTTTGAACACTTGCTGTGTCGCGCAGGAAAATCAGACAGTGGGTTCGCTGGAAGCCAGAGCCACGTCGCCTGTTGACTGAGGAGGAGTATCAGAAAGAGGGGGAGGAAGAGACTCGACGTGCACTGGAAGAGCTGAGGAAGTACTGCAACAGCCCCGAGTTCAGCCCATGGAAGGCAGTGTCGAGGCTTCAGTCCCCGAAAAGGTGCCTGTTGTGATTTTTTTTTTTTTTTCTTTTTATTCCTACGGATATAATTTCAAATGTGTTAAAGACACATGATGTGTTTAACACATGTTTGAAGCTCAGTTCCAGTCTTGGTTTAACAGGAATAGAGAGACACTGCTGATGTTCATGTATGCTTACATTGGGAGCTGGCTAATATGTCACTACACTGTTACTATGAAGAGAAAATATTACTGTCATTCAATTTATTTAATCTGGGTTATTTGACACCAATCAACAGAAAAAAAATGAGACTAGACCATAATACTGACTCACCAAAAGTAGGACCTTCGAGGTACAGTACAAATGTTTTAATACTGGAATCAATTGAAACCCCAATCACTACAGACAGGTGGTCTTCCTTTTACTAATTATATGACTTATAAAACTATTCGTCTGCACTTGTGATAATTTAGGTGTGTCCTAAAGAAGGTGAGAACTTTTTGAACAAATTAACAATAGTTCATTTTGCTCATAAGGACGAGGGCTGTTGATATAGTGACTGACAATGAGATATACCAATCGGCTCATGTGAGAGCCTTACTAAAACAGTGATACAATTTTACTCATTAGTAGTGTCAAATTTGAAGTACATTACAGTAATTGGTTGTAGGTCTTATTTCACTTTTTTGTCAAGGTACATGGATATGAATTTTTCCAAAATACAACATAACTTGTGCTAAGACATTTCGCCAGAAACTAAAAATGTCAACTTCAAGGTGGTGCTAGAGGAAAAGTCAGATCCCTAAAGTGAAAACAATTCATGCTTAAACAGTAACGTCATATTTTTTCACAGAAGTGTAGTCAAATGTCATTGTTCTGTTGTTAATACAAGTGTATTTAACATGTTACACAAACTGTGTTGCTGATACACAATACTTACTATAATCCACAGGTTTGCTGATTTTATCGAAGGGTCACCTCACTTAATGCCAAACGAGGTGTCTGTCCACGCGCAGGAATACGGCTTTGGGGGATCGTTTTTTGAGGATGAATTTTTTGACACCGATGACGAGGAAGAAGACATGATGCCTATGATGAAACTGGAGTGAGAGAGCACAGTGTTGGAGATGCATAAAAACAGGAACAATTCTTATTATTGCCTTTCAGAAAGGTGGTTGGAGAACAGCTCTCCCTGGCTACTGTGCAAGACTGACTGTGAGCAATGTACTGTGGAGGATGGTTTAAGAAAAGCCTGCGTTGTCACCTCAGTCACAGGAGCCACATGGTGTCCTGGCTTTCAACAAGTGATTACTTCCATTTTCTATTTATCATCTGGCTTTCAACAAAAAGTCACTGACAATCACAGGCAGAACACTGAGGTCAGATCAACATAAAAAACTCTATGTAATGTTGTCTCAAAGAATGTGCACTAAAGCCAGATCTCTTCTTTTTAGGGAACAAAGGCATTTGTTAAAATTGAGCTTACAAATACACTGAAACCCCGGTAAGAGGTCAAAGCAGGTCAACATTTCCTGGGTAATGGTAGTTTGAAGTTGTGTCGTCTTTAGTCATTGGATAGAAAAGGTTTTCGTTTTAAAAACAATTGTGTTTACAGCCATTAGGCTCTAAATTGGTTCACTGCAATGAGTGTCCAGATGACGTGTATGTACATCACTGTGATAAGGTCGCACCTCTCTGAACAGTAGCACGATAACGGTGGTAGTTATTATTCCAGCTTTCTGCTCGTGGAGAAAATGTTTGGTCCTGTTTGTGTTCCACATTTTTCCATTCATTTTAATTAACATAAAACAGTGGAGTGTCACAGTATTTTGAATAAAAAAAATTATTTTGAGCTCTGACATGCATGTATTGGTATCATTTTATAAGACTGTTAGGACTAAAAGGTTGGTTAATTTATAATGCACTTTACTAAAATAGGATTTCTTAAGTTAAATTTTACTACAAAACATTTGAGAGGCAAATAATGCAATTTTGACTTCACCACTTTTATCTGTCAGCTATAGGTAGGTCAAAGTTTTACATATAAAATGTTTGATCAGTCTGTAAAATATAATGCATTGTTATAAACTACTTAACAGTTTATAAAGTGCTTTCCATCACCCAGATAATCCAGTAATGTAACTCTGATTGGCCATTTTGCTGCCTAATGAATACTTATGCTTTTCTTTCAGAAAGTTTATTTTGAGAAATTGGTACTTTTACTTACATAAAAATTTAATATTTCTTTCACAGTAAGATGTTCAATACCTGACAAACAACAAATGATTACTTCAATTTTCTATTAATCATTTACTCTATAAGATGCAAAAAAAAAAAAAAACGAAATACAAGAGTTGCCCACAGTCAGAGATGGCATCTTCAAATCATTTGCTTTTTCCAAACTGTCCAAAAAATTGGACAATGGACTTATGAGTAAATAACATATATTTGAAACAAATCCTTGCATTTAGGCTTCATTACTTCCTAATTGTTTCATTGGTGGAGTACATAAAAGACATTGTTATTAAATACATAACCAGTAGGGGGAGGACAATGATCATGAGGTGGAATTTCCACTTTACAAACAGCAGAGGGCTGAATTGCATCAAGCACAGCAATTCCAGAAGTTGCGTTTGATTACTATCACAGTAAATGGTTTGAATCTTCAGGTTTGTAACATGAATCAATCAAAGTAAGCATTATGAATGACATCTTTTGTTTTTCCTCAGTTTCCTGGAATCGCAAGTGGGAAGGCATTTTACTTTGAAAACTCTTTTTTTGAAACTCTTTTTTCTTTCATCCTTTGGGCCTCTATTACATTTAAAATCTCTTGTTTAAATGTGACTTCAATGTAGAAATTTCTGACCTTTCTCATATCTGCACATTCCCTCTGACATGTCCTGTGGTATCTGAAAATCTGTGTCTCAAAAGTTAAAATCTCAAACAAGGTGATGATAAGCGTACATTTGAATTGCATGTGTCATACTCTGAGTCCCTTGTCCTGTGCACTGCATGCCCTCAGTTTAAAATATACTGGCTATATCTAGTACCTCTCATCAAGATTCACTGACTTCATTTCAATTAAAAGTGGAAGTAGAACTGGGGAAAACTGCAGTGGTTGACCTAACTTGTTGTTCAAGTGAGATAGCGTTATCTTAAATCAGGCAGCTCTCAGTATATGTTGGAGAAAAAAAAAACATTGCGACGTCCAGCCCAACTGCCCTCTGCATCCCACCTCTGGCCTCTTAACATTAAATGTTGCAATGGTTTTGTACTCGATTACACAACACGTTTGAAACAGCTGATTAAACTAGCATTATTTGCATGCGTTTCCCAGGCTCAGGTAGGCATATACAACAGTGTAATCACATTCACATGCCACTGCATTTCCTGTGTGCTACTTTCCCAAAACACACGTCACTAATATGGAAACCTCACTGCAATGCAAACATGACCACATTGCTTGAGGAAGGGGGGAATCCCTTGGATATATGAACATATTGCACTGTGACACCCCCACACACACATTGTGGCTTCATGTAAAGTGTCTGGAGTTCCCCATTGCTTACAAACTAGACCACAACTGATCAATTGATTCTTTAAAACTCCACGAAAAAGGATTTTGGCAGTCTTCCTACTCGAGCGTGTGAAACAAAGATAAGACAACCATGTGTGCACATCATGTAGCTGTCACTGCTAATTTTATAAACAGGAAAAGACATCCAGATTTGAAATCAAACAGTAAATTATATAATTATGTGTATCATAGCAAAACAAAGACTGCAGGGTTTAGTGTAGGCAAGTATATGCATGCTGCATGTAATTCCTTCATAGTAAATCAAGAAAAAAAAGCATGAAAAAAAGGAAATTTGAAACTATCATTAAGAACCTGATAACTAGACACTGACAGTTGTACTGTAACAGAAAAGCTGAGACAGAGTAACAAATATACATCACAATCAATCGAAAGCAGTGCAGTTCAAATTTTGCTCTTAAAGACAATCAAAGTGTCTGGCTTTTGACGAACATACATCAGAAATGTCAGTAAGGAAGAAATTTACTTTCAGCAGTGGTGCATTTACTTTTCTTTCAAGCTGCAAGAGGCAGCAAAAACTGCAACTTCAATATATTACTCCACACAGTCTGTACAGTTAAGACAAATTGAACTGGATCTCTCCTCCTCAAACTCTAAACATAAAATAGTTCAACAGAAACAAACAAAAAAAAGTAGTCCAGTGTTGGTCCTTAAAATCCAGTGTTCAGTCAGTTCTCAGTATTTATTGATCCCAAATATCCGCACTCCATGAAATTGAGGCAACTTTGGGAGGAGGACACTAAGGAGGGAGCTTGTGTTGATCAGGAAATGTGTGGGATCATATTTTGTGTAGAAACTGGCAAGAATATACCTTTAGAGAGAGAGAAGAATATTGTCAATGTAGCACCAATACATCAGGATCAACATTTATGCTGAGGCTTTCACACCAAACGGATACATGACAAACACTGAGGATCAAGTATGTAGGCAACAGTGAAAATACAGTCCACAAGTAACCAATACCAATTGAAGTAACACATCAGAGGTTGAGATTTTATTCTGCAGTGCTTTTGGTCCCCATGATAAATGTTTAGCTCTGTGACACTTTCTGTGACAGCTCTCTGAATTTACTGGTAACTTTAAGAATTAAGGCAGAAGGTCTGAAAGAGTAAAAGTCACATTATCACAAAACCATCATTTCACCAAATCTTTCATTAAGTGCATCAGTTTAATCTGTCTGTGCTCAGCTGCTCTGGTGGTGAACTACAGCTGATTATACTGGATGATGAGGTGATGATTCAAGCCTTCTTTGAAAATGAAATTTCCTTCTTAAACATTTGCAGATTGAATTAGCATTTTAAGATTGTGCAAAACATTGTGCAATCAACTGTCGTATTTATTTCACTCAGCAGTTCAACACTGTGACACAAAATCAAGTGTATTGCAACAATCTACTACTACAAAAAGCAAAAACTCATTTAGATTCATTGTCCTGGACACGTAGCATTAGCACAATATCGTGCTGTGTGAAACCATCAAGCTAATATTTTGGATCCCTTTAAAGGATTTGTGTTTTAAAATGAGTCAGCTGAAAACAAATAATAGTGAGCAAAAGAGGTAAATCCACCACCATCATCATAATAAACTGTATATGAGCTGTGTGAGAGCAAAAAACTTCAGTCAGCCTAAAATTGTTCCAAAGTGAGTCGAGACCCGTTCCAGCCAACTGTTCACATATTTAACTACATGCTGATTTCACCATCTTAATGAAAGAGAATCTGCAAACTTCACAGCACTGCAGTTGACCTTTAAATGTAAACACCATACACACTTACAGAACGATTGGTGAGATGGTGAGGAATTTGCGCGAAGATGTGAACTGGACACCGTAGTCCATCTGTTCCCAGTGCGTAAGAAGACGAGCTTTCCCTTGGTCTGGTGTCTCAAAGGGAGTTCCCTTCACTGTGTGTAGAAACAGGTACATCACCTTAAGAGGAGAAACCACACAGCAGAGAAGCACGAACACTGTTAGCCACAAAGACAAATAGGTTTCCCCCCAGTTTATACTTTCCAAAAACCAATCCTCCACAGAAGCTCATCTGAATCATTATCTGTCTCAGGGACCCGCTCCAACCAACAGGATGTAGACTTTACACGCAAACTCTCTAGATCAACAGCTACAAAGATGTTGCATTTACATATTGGTTTGCACCATAATGATTTATAAAAGTAGCTGCAGCAAATCAATAATTTGAATATTTTTATAATTGTTGATGATAAAAACGAAGAACAAAGTATTTCACATCATTTTACTGCATCAACAATAGAACATACAACAATAATAACATGTAAAAATAGGTTTCCTCAGTTTTTTGTGGCTTTTTAAGTTTTCAAAAGTGGTAGTAAGAAAGCTGCTCTACAGAGCTGATCATTTTTATAGTGAAGTGGGAAAATGTAATGTGAAAGAATTGAGTCAAATCTAAAAATTTCTGATGAATAAAAAAAAACATAGGAATGTCTAATCATCACACATGCAAAGATCATATAAAAAATCTAATAAATAAATAAATAAATAATAAGGAATAGTTTGACATTGTGGGAAATATGCTTATTTTCTCTCTTGCTGATAGCTGAGAAGATCAATACCATTCTCATATCTGTCCCTTACATATGAAGCTGGAATCAGGAGATGCTTAGCTTAGCTTAGCATGGCCATGAGTAAATGTAACCAGCATCTACCAGCAACTCTGAATCTTAAAATCTCTTCATGCTAAGCTAAGTATATTCTGTTCCTTCATATTGTTGTAGTTCAGATACAAGAGTGGTATCCATCTAATCAGCAAAAAAACCAATAAGCACATTTCCATAAAGGTCAAACTTTACCTTTAACACACAGCAGTCCTGCTCATTGACATTAATTGTCCACAATGTCTGATACACCAAGAGATAACATATTAGCCTAAATATAGGACAACCCCCCCCCCCCCCCCCCCCCCCCCCTTTTTTTTGAGGATAGGAAATACTTTCACACAGGAGATACATTTACACTCGTCCTATCAGGAAATTTTCCCTGAAATAACCTTAATCTAAGAAGAAGAGAGTCTACATCACTGAAGTCCGCCGAGCTTTAGCATTAGGGCTGTCTAACTCTAAAACACTTTCTCCATTCAAAAAGAATATTTGTTTTGGTGAATATGTAATTCAAGGCTAGTCCTTGAATATGAGACAACCTCCACTTTTTCTACAGTACTTTCCAGAAAAAAATATTGTTTCAATTGGAACAGACTGTATTATGGAGGATTGATAACATTGTCAAATTTTAGTCAAATTTAATGGTATATATTGTCCTACCCTAAAAATAAATGTGTGTTTCAGATATGTAATAAATCCTATATAACCTCGAAACAATTCATAAAATGCTCTTGAAAGATGAACTCAGTTTCACATCAACTTGACAACTGTCTAATTGCTCAGGTTGTGAGAATTTCTGAGCCGGAAAATGCTCTACACCACCTGGAACAAAGAAATTGTAATTCAATGCAGTTGCTCATATTTTTTCATCATTTTGACTGACCAGGTTGTGGATGACATTGGTAAGGGTCCAGACAAGTGGCACAGTGAAGAAAGGTATGCTGAGAAGGACGACATGCAAGACAACTGTCAGGAGCAGGTAGGTGAGCCATATCCCTCTGCTGTTCATCACCCGTGTGTTGGGGTTCACCTCGCTGTGAGCTACGCCCACATTCATCTTGAATACAGAGAGACACACAATGAAAGAGTTCAGGAGGCTGAAAACAAAGGTCTGCAGTTTCTGCAGAGGTACCCACTGACCTTTTAATCCCTTGTGACGCTTGACATCCAGCTTCTAAAACAAGCTAGCAAGCAGACAAAATTTTAAACCGCAGCATTTCCAATGACTATAACCATCAGAGAGGCAGTAAAAATGTACTCATGGAAATCATATTTTTTCCTTCTAAGTCTGTTGTAGCAGATATTTTATTCATTTATATACAAGAAAACTGTCATGTTAATTTGAGGGAACCAATTCACACATCTGACCATTATTTGTCTTCAGTTAATCAGTCACTTCTTAGCTTGATTTATCATTTGGTCTCTAAAATGTCAGAAATTAATCAGAAAAGCCCATCACAATTTCCCAAAGCCCATGTTGATGTCATCAGTGTCTCGTCTTATCTGTTCAATAGTTCAAAACCCACAAATTCAATTTACTATCATATTAGACCAGGAAAAGCAGCAAATCCTCACAGATAAGAACTGGAAATAGAGAATGTTTGGCATTTTAGCTTGAAAAAACTGCAATGATTAATCGAATGAATCGGATGAGTCGGTAATCTATTGGTAATTAATGGATGAATTAAGAAATGTACACAGTTATGTGTTAGTTTAGTTACCTAATTCTGTATCATATTTTGGTCTTTTGTAAGTGGTAATGGAGAAGAAGTTCTCTGTGGTCATTCTACATACATTTGTGTGTCGACAAGAGCTGAAATCAACTACAGCTGTGATGATTGGTTAAAGAAATATGCAAGGGTTTTGATGTACACTATGAAATGTAAATGTTTTTAATTGGGGGCCCATATATTTTTGTTGGTGGGCCAGATGTGGCTCATGGGCGACTATTCCAGCACCACTGCTGTTAACGATTAAAAAAATAAATAAAAATCGCATCTTTAAAACAACTGAGGTAATGACCCCGCCCGTCTGAGCTGTTCTGGGTGATTCAACACGCGCTTCCTCTCACATCACTCAGCGACAACTAGCCGCAACATTCAAGCACTAGTCCGAACAAACAAAACAGTCAAGACGTAGAATTAAAGTTAAATTTTGATATATTCTTCTATGACATGACAGCAACTGTTCACACAATGCCCACACCTTTTAAACGTAGAGTAACAGTTAACGTTAGGTATTACAACGTTCGCCAGCTAGCTAACAGTTGCTATCCACAGGTTGATATGCTAACGTTACTTCAAAATCAATGACGGTGTAGCGGTTGCAACGAGAAGTTAGTAATGATGGGGTTAAAAGCTTCTCTCGAATTGTGAGCAACCTGTCTGGCTCCTGTGGCATTTCGAGGTTTAAAACTTAACATTTCAACGGAGCAAACTGTACCTTCCAGCGTTGTCGTAGCTCACCAGGAAATTCCTTGTTTTTTCTTTAACCCCGCCTTCGTTAGGTTCGGGCTGGTTCCTCTGCTGCGGCGGACATCTGCCAGAAAAAAAGCTACTCTATGTGTCCTCCTGTCCCTAGCAACAGCAGGTAAACAGGTGAGCGGGGGAAACTGCATCTAGTTTTTGCAAAGTACAGTTTGTCCTCCAAGAAATTCTCAGAATGCCCCTGTAGATGTGAGCAATATTTTATTATCAACCATGTGTCAGCACAATACCAGGAGGCATGCGGATAAATGCTTTGACTTTGCTATCAAGCTTTCACAGCTTTTATCCATCTTTCAGATCAGCTTTTAGAAGACTACATTGTAGTCCTTTTGATTAACAATTAATTGTTTAAGTCATTTTTTATTAGCAAAAATGCCTGGTAGCCTACCAGCTTCTAAGATGTGAACATTAGTTAGTTTTATTTATTAGTTATCCAGTGTCTATGGTAATGAACTCAATATTTTGGGGTTTTTAACTGTTGGTCAGACAGGGAAGGAAGGGATTTGAATACGTCAGCTTGGGCTTCAAGGGAAAATGATGGGCATTTTCACTGTTCTCTGACATTTTACTGACTAAACAATCAATCCATTATTAAGGAAAATAACTGTATTGATATTGAAAACAACCATCGGTTGCGGCCTTCTGTGATGGAATAATATTGCCTTATCATATGTTAATTCCTTGACACATTGAAAAAAAGGAAAGCAATTATTTAAAACATATCTTAACAACAGAAGGGCACAATACAAACTAAAACAATTAAGGTCCTAAAACTAGATTGTGACAGAGTCTCTATGCTGAACCCACTTGGAATTTTCAGATTCAAAATGAGCATGAATTTTTCTTCTTTTTTGTATTCATTGTGTGAAGCCTTACCTTTATCCCTCATGACAACTTTTGCTGTACTGCTACAGCCCAGGGACTTTGTGTTTCTATATCACTCATATCACTCAAAGTGCTTTACACAAGAAGGGTGCAGGAAGTGTCTGAGTGACACCCCTCTCCTGATCATGGTTTATATTGTTTGAGTTTTGACCAGAGAGAAGACCATCTGACAATTTCAATTTCACTTTAAATGCTGAAGTTTGTAAGGCCAAACAACCTCCAGTTGTAATTCATGTCAAAGAATAGGCCTATAAGTTGCAATTTTTACAGTGTACTACTGCAATTTTTACAGTTATACTAAATATAATCAACGATGTAATATTGTAGGTTAAGACAAGACTATTGATCGCTACTCAGCAATATCTAAAGTCAGTAAAAGTAGCCCCACTTTTATCTGCTGCAACATTGAAGTGATGTACATATTAATGCATCAGTAAGTATAACCCTGAAATATAATGAGTACTTTAAGTTTTGGTAGCCTACTTAAAGCATAGTTTGATGTAAACTTGTTTTACTTGTAACAGTATTTCTACATTGTTGCATTGCTAATTTTACTTATGGAAAACCTCTAAGTACTTTTCCCAATACTGTTGAGAAATGTGATGAAATGGTATTTTAAGTGTTCATATCTGACACTTTTTATTATTGTGCAAACAGTCCAAAGGTCAGCAAACTGAATGGCATATAGTAGTGGTCAAAAGTGGTTTGAAACCAGTGTTGGAAAGTACTTAAACAGTAAGGTTTTTTTTTTTTATGATATTTTGTCTGTATATCGAAACCCTGATGCAATGTTTTTCTCTGTGCCATTGAGTTCCATTGTTGTCCAAAAAGTTTACTGGGTGACAAGTTCCTTCATTAGAATAAAGGTGGGCTTTCATGGTTATTCTGAGTTAATACCATGTATACTGTCTTGCTGCTGTATATAGTCACCAAAGCACCAAATCCATACCTGAAAATAGCCCTGAACAAATGCAGTATTTACTTTATGCTACTTTATCCCACTACTCAAGGCTCTATTACCAGGCAAATGGGCCTCAGACCCGACTGGGCCTTAAAGCCCCATGTTAATTGCATGTCTGCTGGTTTTAAAAATTTGATTATTTGCAAATTTTTTAGGGAATTTGTACTTTGAAAATACAATGTCAACTAAGACAGGTCCTACATTATTTGATAATTTTGTGTCCATATTTTGTAGATCAAAGTCTAGTTTAAAGAGATTTATTATTTATAGTACAAATAAAGTTGTTGAGAATAAAGACTCTTTCCGGCATGGGAATACTGGTTGAATGGGAAACTGAAGGTGACAAGGTGTATACAGACCACACTGCTCAGAGGGCAATAGGTGAGGGGTCAGTAAGAGCATGTTTTGGCCTCACGGCTAAAGGTTAAACTGGCCATGCCTCTACTTCACTATAATTCATCTCAGGATGTATGTAGTTTTATTTCAATATACGTATATCATATGTACATTTTCTCAAAGCTCAATAAAGAAACTGCATGTGGATAGAATAACCAGATGGCAATGTCTGTTGTTTTTGAATTTATCCAGTGAAATAAAAACCTGACAGATCAAGATTTCTCATGACATAGATGCAACAATCCTGTTATTCAAGTATTGCCATAAAGCAAAACTGCTCACTGATTTTTGTAATATTGCATAACATGCCCCAAAAGAAACAGTGGTATTAAAGGGGTAGCTTTCACTCTATATTGGGGTGCATAAGAAATCTTTGGTTGTTGACACCTGACCCCCAGACTGAACGTTATGTCTGTGCATCAGGAAACCTCTGGCCCCAGCTTTTTACCCTGAGTGGTTTAAAATTCACAAATCAAAAGCAATATACACTTGAACAACACTGTTCGTAATCAATATAGAAAGATTATGAAGCCAATTTGTTGCAGTGCAGATCATTATTGTGGAGCTCACAGATAAAATGATGTTGGTTGCTCTTTTAGCCTTTGAGCGAACTCATCCTGAAGTATAACTAAACAGGTTTTTCTGGTGTAGAAGCTGAAATAAAGAGTAAACAGTGAAAATCTATAGACTTGATGACTGCCCGGCAGTAGCAGCACTGAACTGTGTTTAAACTAAGATCAAATCTTACTTAAGAGCACTAACTGTTTAATGAAGCAATAAACTCAAGCATGGAAATTCATTCATGAAATAAATTCAAGTCATGAGTTCTGACAGGGTGAATCACTAATACACGGGGAATGAAAACAAAAACATGCACACTGTTACTGGCATGCTGGGATGTTTGCTTCCCGGTAGCATGAGCAGCGTGTAAATAAATTAAATGAGGAAGTGATGTCAAATTCACATTAGCAATGACCCATGGATTACATGTGTGGGGCAGCATGCGGAACTTAGGTTTGCTGAGTTCGTAATTTCTTGAAACATCAATTTTATACTGACATTTTATATTGACATGTATAGTGCTGTGGAAATGTTTTATGCCGTTTTATGCAGTGCTTCAAACAAAGTGCAGTAAAACAAAAATCAAATGTTGAGATCAGGGCTCTGAAGGGGTCACCGATCAGACTCCTCCCTAACTGTATTGCAGGATGAATAAAAATCTGACGTGAAATGACATCATAAAATTTCACAAGTGAGTTACTGTAACGTCATCCTCACACAAACTGTAGAGCAGTACTGACGGGCACATTGCTTCTCGTGTTGATAACATAATAAACCTTTCTCATTGAGAAAGACCTTCCCTACTCTACCCTTGGGGTGATTACTACATTTACTTCACTGTGACCTTCAAAGATCTAAAGCAAGTTTCAGACTTCACTTCTAACAGTTTTTTCTGTTCAATCAGCATTTCAGCTTCACAAAGCAGCTAGTTTGTCTTGTTACATGCTTACTTTGATATTGCTCTTGTTCCTTCATTGCAGACTTGTTCCTACTATGTATGCATTTATTTCCTTTTGTATGTGCATTTTATTTGATCGTACATCATTATCCTCTTACCTTTCTTGGGAAGCACTTGGTAAAGTCGGTTTTTAGATAAGAGCCAAATAAATAATTTCCTCCTTTACTGTCATGGTCATGACACATATTCTGACACTTCACCAGCAGGACAAAGACAGGATTCATGTGGGCTTAATATGATGAGAGGTTGAATTCATTCTGGATATTAAGTCACTCTGAGAACAAACATCCTTGTTGAACAATCCAGTGCCTTTACACTGAGCTCAATGCTACTTCCTCTTCCCCTTTAAACGTGACACCTTCCTTTTTTCCCCTTGTAATTACTAAGACTATACTGTTGCACCATCAGGGTGCAAAGAAGCTCAAGAGAACACATCTGTGATAATAGACACACTGACAGGGAGGAAGTTTGCCGGAAGTTGTGGATCTCCGCAGGGCAGCAGGAGTGTTTTAGGAAAGCACAGCTTCCTCCTTATCTCAGCACATTTGTCTGGGTGCTGTTTTGGAAATTCATTGAAACAAAAGAAGAGTATGACAGTGCAGGTACCTTTGTAACTTTCCTTAATGTGGAATAATTTATCATGACTGCTTTATGTGGATGGAACAATCACTATATATATATTTAAATGCTCATTTATAAACAACACATAATAATGATATGTTTGATGATTGTTTATTAGGGACATTGGATATTTTCTGCATAAAACATGAGAGATAAATACATAAGACATACATAACAAGCATAAATTGATTTAGTTAAATATCAATAAATAAATGCAATAAATATAGTTTAAATAAATACATTAGATCATAATTCCATTGGAAATACATGGCAGAAACCAGAGTGGAAACACTTCTAGCTTCATGATCAGCCACTGAGTGCTGTACCAGATGCTTTTGATCAATGTGATCAAATACAGGATTCTTGTACAATTCACAGCTGCATGTCAGCGAACACGAAAACATTTAATGCTTCTGTTTGCATATCTGAGCGGAGCCCTCCGCGTGATGAGCCGGATCCCCGACGGCAAAGACACGAGCGGTGAGGATGGAGAAGGAGAAGAGTCTGTCCATGGTGTATTGGCAGAGCAGAGCCTCCTTCCAGCGAGCAGAGGACCCAGAGGACTCAGAGGACTTTTCTTTGTTGTGGGACTTCAGTAGAATTAGAGAAGAA